AATTAAATGAGTTTTATGTAGGTGGGATAGAAGACAGTGATACACTGAAATATTGCGACATTTCATTTCTTGATACAGTATTGATTCACAAAAGCAACGTATCAGTTTTTAATTAAGGCTTTAAGAATTGGGAAATGCAAAGTGATTTTAATCAGATTATATGTAATCTGTGGTGTGCTCAATTAGAATCTTTTGGAGAAAAATTGCCAATTATCACATTGCTCAAAGTATCGCAATACATCACAATATATCGTGTATCGTGATATATCATATTGCGATATCATATTGTGATATACCGTATTGTGATGTATATCACATTACCAATTTCTTGGCGATACAGACTTTTACAGAAGCTGGTGTAAAACTTGGTGTGGTGGTCCTGAACACACTGAGCTCTAACATGAGGAGATCTGCGTTCCTTCAACAAATGTTAGTTTGTGTTTCACTTATTGATTTGTTACCAGGTGGAGTTTATTCTAATAATTACAGTGTTTGATAGTCTGGTGTTGTAGAGAACATCCCTTCAAGCCTTGGAGTTATTCTCTGCAGAGAGAATCATGCTGCAGCTGACATTAATCCCACAGAAATCCAGTGTATTAGTGAACAAAAGGATTCTAATCCAGATTCAAACATGCTAATCCTGGAATCATCTTCCTGCAGGGTCTCTGCTGAGTTTGATTTAGAGATCTGAAAATTCTGGGTCGGTCTGAGGAGCGTCTCTTGGCTCAGTTCCTGTCAGGAGGAACACCTCCCAGCTGATCCCTCCTCCTCCTCCCCTTCCTCCTCCTCCTCCTCCTCCTCCCATTCTTCCACCCCAGCACCACGCTACTCCATCCCGGCAACACATTGTTTCAGCCATGTATGGTTCCACCGTCTACCTCCACTGTCCAGACTCCACTGGATCCACCAGAGGGACCCTCTGGCAGCTGCCCTCCAGGACTATTCTGGAGCATCAATACAGGTAATACTTTTAAGGACCAGTCACACCATTAATAACCTTAAACTGGTCAAGCAGCTTCTTTTGCCTCCAGCCCAGAGAGACCAATTAAAGTCTTCCAAAATGGGACTCTGAGGATCCTTCAGCTTACGGAGCTGGATGCTGGAAACTATCTGTGCTTCATTCCTCGGCCCAACAGAGAGGACATGGAGCTCTTCCAGGTATGAGCATGACAAATAATGAGTTTTAAAGATTAATTTGCTCCCTGATCTTTATAAAAGGTTTAAGTTTAACATCTGTCTCAAGGCACTGTGGTGCATTAGCAATGACTTGTTAAAGGTTTTTCAAAATTATATCTTAATAGTTATGTGGGGGTCTTTAACTCCCTGTAAAAGTGTCAACCCCTTCCCTTTTTTAAAATTTTTGTTCTAGAGTCGCACCGATCAAGGTGGCAGCATGTTGAAGCAGCTCTGTTACTTTCAAGATTTTGGTTTTGAGGATTTGGTTCTTCTTTTTGTGGATGGAAATTGCACCTTTTTTAGATGATTATTCCCTCTGCTATTAGATGCTGTGCAGTTGGAAGGATTTTTGATGATACTTTCCTTTTGAACAATTGTTATGTATAAACTTAGCAACACGTTGGTTTGTTATAACCAGGAGTAGCTGATTAAAGTCTCAAAAGCTTAAATAACTCAACTACAGCCCCAAATCTCAGATGAGTTGAAAAGGAGGCACCGTGGATGTAGAGCAGAACCAAAGAGGAAGGAGAGATGGAGGAAATTCAACGCAAGCAAAAACTCTTCCCAGTGGAATCTGACCAAGGCCAGATCTAAAAACAATGTAAAGAACCCAGTATTGTGTTGAATCTTGACTTCACCACAGTGTCCCATCCTTAACTCCCTTTTAACAGGAAGAAACCTCCAGCAGATCCAGGCTATGGACAGGCGGCCATCTGCCTCGACTGGCTGGTTGGGGGACAGGAAAGAGACACAAGCATAGAAAGACTGGTCCAGGTGTATTTTCCTCTAGAAGAGAGACAAAGAAAACATGCTATTGATAGAAATAATTACAATAAACATGTAGAAGAGAGACTAAAGACAACAGCAGAGTGAGGAAATGTGCTCAGTTTGTGCTCCAGCAGTCTAAGTCTATAGCAGCAGAAATGAAGAATAATTCAGGAAACCTAAGTCTAACTATAGGATTTATCAAAAAGGAAAGTCTTCAGTCTAATCTTAAGACAGAGTGTCAGCCTCACGGACAGAAACTGGAAGTTGATTCCACAAGAGAGGAGCTTGATAACTGAAAGCTCTGCCTCCCATTCTACTTTTAGAAACTCCAGGAACCACAAGTAAACCTGCAGTCTGAGAGCGAAGTGCTATGTTGGGAAAATATAAAACAATAAGATATTTAATTTGATGTAGTTGTGATCTGTTAATTTTGATTTTTTTGATGCAATTGGTCTGATGACACATTCTCAATAAAGTAAAATTTGCTGAAAAGTCATTGAAGTTTGTTTTTCATTGTATTTTTCCAATAATATTTCTCATGTGATTGTTGAGCAGGTTGAAGTGTTGATGACTCCTCCTCGAATTGAACAAGTAAGGACTGCACAGACCAGCATCACCTTTGGACAAAACTTCCAGGTAATAGACCCCAACAGGCAGTAACAAGATTTCACTCATCATCAAGGACAGGGTTTTGAGTATTGTAAAGATCACTCCTAAAGTGCAATTGTTGAATTTCACCCTAAAAATCACTATCACATTTTTTTCATTCACTAAGGTGGACTGTGTTGCAAGTGGCCTTCCCAATCCAGAGGTTTTCTGGAGTCTTCCAGATGGAACGTTTGTCAACAACGCCCTTCAGTCTGATGACAGCGGCCTTCGCAGTCGCCGCTTTGTCATGTTTGGGAATGGAACTTTACTTCTCCAACAGATGGGCAAAAGAGACGAGGGGGACTACACCTGCCATGCCAAGAACAAACTGGGCAAAGACAAACGAATAGTGCATGTGAAAGTGGGACCAAATGCTCCAAAAATTGGACAAAAATCACAATCGCTGGTCATAGTCAAGTTGAGAGAAACAGCAAAATTGAGCTGCCAGGCTGTTGGTGAGCCTAAACCAACCATTACATGGATCTCACCACAGACAGACGTGATCCCAGTGTTGTCAAACAAATACAGAATCATGGATGACGGGACATTAGTTGTGAATAAGGTGACACTGGCTGATGAAGGGAAATATGTATGTGTGGCCCAAAATTCTGCTGGTGAAGACATTAAAAACATGATAATTGAAGCTGAACTTCAGGAACCATTTATCAGTGGAGTAAAAGGAAAGAGTACTACAAAGCTTTTGACTGTTTCTTACCAAACAGCACTTTTGGATTGCAGTGTAGAGGGCAAACCAGAACCAAAAGTCTGGTGGGTTACTCCATATGGTCACTCCCTCACGTCACCCTATCTTGGAGGACGTTTCCAAGTCCACAAAAATGGAAGCTTGGAGCTGAGGGGAGTCAGGAAGACGGACGAAGGAAGATATAAGTGTCTCGCCAAAAATCACCTGGGTGAGGCATCCCTTTCCATAGAATTAGAAGTAGCTTCATTAGCAGAGAAACCTAGTTTTGCTTTTCCAAATATTGAAATTTTACCAATTAAACAGAATGGTGCTGAGCTGATCCTTGAATGTCCTGCAAGGGGCAAGCCAAACCCAGACTTTTTATGGGTTTTACCCAATGGAACAGTATTACCACCTGGCTTGAGGCTTCAACGCTTTACCCATCATTTTGGTAACGGAACTCTACGGATTTCTCAACCTGTTGCAATTGATAAGGGGATTTATCGATGCCTGGCAAAAAACGTGGCTGGTCAAGCAGAGAAACGGTATGCCCTGGAAGCTGGCAGGAAGCCAGTCTTAAGAGGATCTACAGGTAGGTCTTGAATTTTATTTATTTATTTATTTATTTATTTATTTATTTATTTATTTTTACTGTTTCTCTCTGTCTACACAAGTTTTTTTTTAATAAATTTTTTTGTGTTTTTCAATTCACACAAATTCGTTCAAAAAATCAAAATGTTTGGGGTCATTTTAGGAATTTAAGGGAATAGTCTGTATGTCTTTGAAGGTGGTTCTGTGAAGCTTCAGGCAGTATTTTACAAGTACCTGACAGAGACAGCCTTCAGAGTAATATTTGTTTTGGAAATTAGAGATAGGTTCTCATAGAAGAAAAAAGCTAATTTAGGTTAGTCTAAGTAAGGTCATTTCTATTAGATGTCTGTCATATTAAAACAGCTAGATTCAAAAGTTTCAAATCAGTTCTTGTGAATAGATTTTAACTTTTCTTTTCAGTAGGATTGACCAGGTATGTTTCAGTCATTGCCACTGGCAGAGTGCGACCAACACAGTCTTTAGAATAAATAACATGTCCAGAGTCAAAACATATATTTTGGGCATTTGTTCTGGTTAATTTTTTACAATGAACTTTAAGGAGGTGATTGAGACCTACCATTGCTCTACAAAGAGGTGCTACATCTGGTCAGGACAATCTTATTAGTGCTGCTGTATGAAAATACTCAAAATTTGAATGCCCGAATAAATGTGCAGGAAACCAAGTTCAGTTCTCAATTAATTTTTTTTATTCTCTGATCTAAAAACTCCATCTCAAGGACAGGGATGTCATCTCCTCCTGTGTGGATAACAAACTTTTTCAGAGCAGGATACTCAGCTGTGATCTCCATTATCTTCTCTGTGAGATCAGACACCATATTATCAGCAAAGCTAAGAAACTTGTATTTTTTCTTGTTTTAAATGTGTTTAAGCTCACCCACAGCTTTGACAGCTAAAACCAGCATTTCTGGGTTAGTGGCATTCTCTTTCCAAGCTCGGTTTGGAGGAAGCTAATTTGGGCTGAATCTGGCATCAGATCTCTCGCTGGGGCCAGAAAATTAGCTTTCTTCTGACTCACAAATTCCTTCAAGTGGGGTGAATCTGTTTTGCAGAAAGATTCCTGTGTCTTCCGCTGGCTCGTTGTTATCTCTAATTGTTTTGATAAACTGTTGCTGTCTCTGTAGCTCCAGCCATTTTGTTTTGTCAAAATGCTTCATTCTCCCTGTCAGTTATCTAGTAATAGATGTATTTGATTTTGTGCCAAAAAAGTGAGATTGCAGAGTTCAAACAAAACAACAAAACAAAAGTTCAAAATGACTGCTTCTCCATTCACCCCCATTCTCTTCAACATTTGGCCTCTTCCAGACAGCCTTCTCACTAGCTGCGTTTCCACTGCAAATGTGCCCAAAACTTTGTCGATATTCTGTTAATGTCGAAAAACACAGTTTCGCAACTGTGGTGTTTCCATTAAGTAAGAAATGCTATTAAAGTCACGCGTGAATACGTTTGTTCTCATGATAAGTCATTACAAACATGGAGGTGATGGATGTAAACACATAGCATGTTGCTACCACGACACTAGCGCTCATCATCAGAGGAGACGTCGGCATCTTTTATCGAGGCTTTCCAGAGACAAGTCCCTACTTGGGAGCGGCTACGTATGCTGTGTTTTTGGGAAATTGTAGTCAGCGAGTTTACTATTTTATACTGCTTCTGTAATATTACTACTATTTCTACTTCCTGTTATCTTCTTCATCATCATCTTTTTCGCCAGTAGAAACAGCCAGTTGTTGATCACGTGACTCCCGTGATGCAAACAAACTGTTTCCTTTGCAGTTTTGCGAAAAACACCAATTTCGATACGGCCGAAAAACCACTTCATCCTAGCGCAAAAACATTTTGTCAAAAAATGTATTTTTTTTCCGAAATTGACATGTTTCCATTGAGCAAATTTATTTTCGAAATTCTAATTTGCGCATTTTCATGGTCAATGGAAACGCAGCTACTGTTTTGCACAAGTGTCGTATTGTCATTTAAAGCATTCATCTTCTCAAGACGATGAATCTCAATTTCCAACATTGCTCCCTTATGGAGAAGCTGGCTATGATCCTCTTTGAGATAAAAAAAAACAGGATCCATCTTCAAAGCTTGGCTGTCCTCAGGTCTCAGTCGACTTATGAGAGTCATCCAATCACATCGGGCATCACAACTTTGTAAGAAAGTACTCAAAAATTGGATGCCAGAATAAACGCTCAAAAAACAAGTTCAGTTCTCAATTAAAAATGTTATATTCTGTGCTCTAAAAACTCCACTCCACACAGTCACAGTGTGTCTAATCAGAACAGAAAAAAATACTTCTGCTGCTGGTTACGCTAAAGTCTTACGTGTCCTTGACAAACCAAAAATATTTAAGAACACCTTGGTAACACCCTAGTGGTGGTACTTTTTATGTCAGCATTAATATATCCAAAATCTTAACCAAGTTTTTGTTTATCCTGTGGAGGAAAACTTATTTTAAGTAGAGACATACTGTATTTGATTCTATCACTGATTAAAGTAAATAACTGCAATCAATCACAATAAATAAATAAATAAATAAATAAATAAATAAATAAATAAATAAATAAGAATGTATCTAAAATTTAATCAAGTCTCAAAATTTCCTTAACTATGATAAATGATGCTGAAGTCAGAATGGGAGATTCCCAAATGCTTCACTTTCCTGAGGAGCTGTATTCTCTGCTGATCTTACTGGGCCAGGTTTAGTGTGTTGAGAGTCTACATGGGTACAGTACAAAACAAGTTCCACAAACTTTCTTCTTTTAGCCTGGCTTGATGAGTCTTAAAACACTACTGAAGAATTATGGGTATATAGTTCTTGTATATCAGAATCTTTGCTTTAGTCTCCGTTCACATTTAAATAAAAAAAGACATTTCTTTCTCAGTTTTATGTTTTTGTTTCTGTTAACATACACCAATCCAAAAAATAAAGTTACAGGAGAAAAATCTGCTTTTCTCCTTGTTGGTCAAGCAGGTTGCCACTTTTGACAAACAAAACCTTACTTATACAGAACAGCAGGTTGCGACCTTTTATTAGAAATTGAAAAACCATGAACATGAAACCTCTATTGTCACAACAATGAAAATAATAATCTTCATATACTGCAGAAAAATGTTTTTAATAAATCAAAACAGACTGCAGCAACAGTTTGTGCTCAAAGAAAGGTCAGCCGACTACCTGAATACTGAATACTGAATGGCCAGGTTATTTTTTTTATATTTTTGTTTATTTGGGACCCCCTCCCTCCAATGTTTTGTTGTTGATTGTCTCCACCATGAAGCCACTGTTGTGATATCATTCAGTTCTTTTTATAAACTTCACAAACAGCACTTTAGTTTTAACATTTAGAGACAGATTGTTGTCTGCACACCATCTCTGTATTATAAGATGTTTTCATCACAACTAATGATGAGTCATCAACAGTTTAACAGTATGGTCATGTATTAGAAGAACAAAGAGCAAAAGACTGAGTACACATCCTTGAGGGACTCCTATACTGACATCTTACTGTCAACACAGTCTAAGTTGTGTACTGTCTGCTCTGGTTTTTAAAAGAGCATCTGCATGAACCACAGTAAGATTTTTGTGATCCTAGTTCAAAAGTTGCAGAAATGTGTTTTGAATGGTGCCGGTCAGGATCACTGACTCCCCTACGAAAATTTATGCTTCACCAAACTGAGCTCAATCCACTGATAGAAACTCCACAATCACCAGCTTTAAAAAAATCTAAACTAAACCTTTATATTATTAAATCTTTGAGATTTTCTGTTCAACTAAGATTGAAAATACAGTTTGGTTTGGAGAAAGTGTTTCCAAAACCACTAAAACATGACAAAACACAAACATCTCACTTACTTTTGTATTTATTAATGACAGAACACTATGTATTTAATTTTTCAGGTGGGATGAAGATCACTTATGGCCTCAGTCTCAACCTGCCTTGCTCTGTGGATGGCTGGCCCCAGGCGTCCATCACATGGACTCTACCCAATGGTGTGGTTTTGGACAAGCCCCAGACTATTGGACGGATTTCTGTCTTCACCAATGGGAGCCTCCAGGTCAAACAGGTTGCCACTTTTGACAAAGGAACGTACATCTGCAAAGCCTCCAACTCTTTCGGATCAGCAGCGCTCTCCTATCCAGTCACAGTGATGGTCTTCCCACCACGGATCACCAGCACCATGGCTTCCATAACGAGAGTTACCCGGGGGACACCGGTGATGCTGCAGTGTGTCACTGCTGGTATGCCAAAGCCAGAGGTGTCATGGACGTTACCCGGGCGCACCACGCTGCTGCCACACAACCGGTACACGGCGCGGGGAGGAATTCACATGACAGAGGAGGGCAGCCTGGTCATACACAATCCTGTGCTCACAAACTCTGGTATTTATAAATGTAATGCTAAAAACGCCCTGGGAACAGATTTCAAATCAACGTACCTACAGGTTGTTTGAGGGACAGACCTGATTTAGGAGAACTCTGAATCGAACTCTGAATAGATGAGACAAGACCTTTACTGAACTTTATAAAGATGCTCTGCTGGCAGACTTAAACCGACTTGATTTGTACCTTATAGTTTGGGAAACATTGCAGTTTGTTTTTTGTACCCACCAATTCATCTCAAAATACACTTTCACAATGGCATTTTATTATGTACTGTAAGTAAGTTTGTCTTCTCTCCACACTCTGCAGTCTTTTCAAACTGCATCTTTTAGTTCAAGATGTTTATCTGCATAAAACGTTCAAGAAGGTTTTATGGTACCCCATTGAACTAGTAACCGTTCCCCTTTCCTATAAGAGAATATCTACACTTTCCTGAGTTTATTGACTTCCACCAACATCTATTTTAATAAATTTGTTAAAACATCCTCTGAGTTTGGTTGAATATTCAATTTCTCTTCCTGATTCTTGTCACAAAGTCCAGAGTTTTAGCATTAACCCTGAATAGTTTTTTAATCCTGGAAGGCTTGTAGTTTAATGGCGTACCATCAAACCTTCTGGTACTTTTTATGCACAGGAACATGGTATCGCTCTTGCATTATGTTATATTATAAAGATTTATTACTACTTTTTATTCTGTTATAAAAGACATAGTCTGGCTTTGCGTTATCCAGCTGTCTCTGGTCCCTGTATTTGCAAAATTTTGGTGCATTTTTATTGTATTTACAGCTCTCTTTGGAGTCTCCATTACCCTGACCCAGCCTGTCATGGTTTGATTGTACTTGTGCATTTTCTGTTATTAGTTTGCAGTCTCCTCCTGGTGTTTTTCCATTCTGTCTCCTGTCTGTCCATCCTTCAGCCCTGCCTTCCCTCACCTGTTTCCTCTTGCTTCTCCTCCAGGTGTTTCTTGCTTTCCCCTCATTTGTTGTCTTTATATTCTGTCTCATGTCCTCAGTGTTTGATCATAGTGCTGTTTCTCCGGCCACTTTGGCGTTCTCCCTGTAATCCTTGTTCCCTGTTATGTTTTGAGGTGTTTTTTGAGCTTCCTTGTCAGTCTTTTTTTTTGCCCGAGTTCTGGGTTGATCCTGCCAACACCTCACTCCTCATCTGTTTCACCAGCCCTCTCATCATTCTTTATCTATGTATCTTCTCTGTGTTTTTCCTGCTCTTTGTCATGTTTACTGACTGTCTTACTGTGCTCGTGCATGTCCCACACCACCCTCACCGCCTGTCCTCCTCATTAGGTACCACAGTTTGAGTGTTTCCCACTGTATGAATATAAAATATTCATCTCCCTAAAAGTAATATTAAAGAACATGGGTGACATTTTTCTTCAAACTTTATTGCAAATTATTTTGTTTACAAATGAACTCTGATGTCATCATGCAAACTTGTTCTAGTGTAAACTGTTTTTCTTGTGCTGTACTGCCTTGTATTTCTGTTATTTTTATTAAGAAGCGTTAGCTTTTTGTAAATGACTTTCATTGATTTATTGTAATTATTTGATATTCTTCTATACATTCAAATTCATCATAATTTTACCATTGCTTAACTCTAATTTATAAATAAACTACACATTTATAGAGGGTTTTTACTAATTGTGCCATTTTCACTAATTAGTGGTTTTAAGGATGACTTTGTACCTTTGTGGGGTCTATAAAATGCACGTCTATTACTAGTTTTTTGGGGGGTTGTCTTGAACATCTTTCTCATTAGTTCAATATTATAATACACCTAGCAGCAATAAATTTGGAAGGAATATATGCTGCCTGGACAAAAAAAATAGTGTCCAGCTGGATCTAACTAAGGTCTATGATGTGGGGTTGCTGCAGGTGGTCAGGTCTAGGTTCACCAACAGTCTGTGCTCAAAGAATGAGGTCAGCTGACTACCTGAATATACTGAATGACCAGGTTATTCCATGAGTGGATTGTTTCTTCCCTGATGGTACGGCCATATTCCAAGATGACAATGCCAGGATTCATGAGGCTGTAATTATGAAAGAGTGGTTCAGGGAGCATGAGACATCATTTTCACACATGGTTTGGCTCCACAGAGTCCATTGAGAATCTTTGCGATGTGCTGGAGAAGGCTTTGTGCAGTGGTCATACTCTACCATCATCAATGCAAGATCTTGGTGAAAATTAATGCAAATGGGTGGAAATAAATGGTAGATGGCTAGAACTTACATAGCACCTTATCAAATTCACTTGGACCCCAAAGCTCTTTACACTTCAGGTATTCACCCATTCACCCACTGATTGTGACATTTTGGTGTTTCCACCCCCCTACCTCCTTGATTGGTGGCAGCGCTGATCACCCACACCTGTGTGCAATCTGGCTCATCTACTCCAGGCTTCTTAAGGCAGTGCCAAAGACCAACTCAGCGCTGGAGCATAGCCTCTTATTTGGTATGAGATCAGCCCACCACTTGTTACTATCTCTGTTTTGTATTACTTGTGTTCTTGTACTTACCTATTTTCAGGAAATCAGTTCTCCAGTATGTTTTTGCCTGCCGCCTTAGACTTCAAGCCTCTCACCAGTTTCTCATGCGCTGCCTCCAACAACTCACTGTAAATATCCACGCACCTGTAAATACTCACCTTGGGAATCCTACCTTTGTGGACCAACTCCTCCGTGCTTCATCTCCTTCCCCAAACCGTAAGAACCTACCTGCTGCACTCACCTGTTTAAGTCCTCTTCTGGAAAATTATCAAGTACTCACCTCTACTACCGTTCTGTTCCAGGTCCAGACCACAGATCCCTCCCGCACCTGTAAAAATAAAAATCACTCATCTTTTATCACTTGCCTCCGTCCCTGTTTGTCGCTGGTACTGCTCACGTTGACCCAAAACCTGTGTTTATGACACTGATGATGGTAAGATACGTTGTACATTGCCACAGCTGCCCTGGGCCACACTGACAGAGGTGGGGCTGCCATGCACTGTGCGGATGTGTGTTTTGTCAGTCTGTATCTCCCTCTAGTGTTCCCTCGTTGTTATCACACATTCCCCTCAATCTGGTTCCTGCTGTTTAATCATCCTCACCTGTTGTCATCTCCAATCAATCCTGCCACCAGGTGTTCATCATTTCCTCATTCCCTCTGTTTGTATATATACTGGTCTTTTACTCCACACCCTCACTGGCTCATTGTTTGGTTTACCCAACTGTTATGTTTCTCCCTTGTTGTCAGTGTTATTTAGTTTTTGCTGCCTTGACATCTTTTTTGTTTATTTTTGTTAAAATAAACATTTTTCTTACTAAAACTCTTACCTCCGTCCRGATTTGGGTTCTTCTCCTAGTCCAAACTTAACAGAATGAGCCAGTCCGCTACAGGACCCACCGGGAGAAAGAGTTTCTTCAAGTTCATGGAAGAAAACCGCCTTTTGTTTCCATCTTACGAATGGGGAAGGAGACTGACTGGGAGCGTGCACAGGACTCAGCAGGTCCAACACCAGACCTCCATCCGAGTGGGTGGTTTTCGGACTGCACCAGCCCAGCTCCCTCAGAGATGTGAGCACCGGAGTCCTGAAATCGAGGTCCTACCATCRCCTCTTCTGGTGGAGGAAGAGGAGCAAGAACGGATGCAGCTCCAGGGGAGTCGCCTGGCCTTCAGGTCCGCGCCTCCATCTCGCTCCCCTACATCCGGCTCTTCCCAGCGCAGCYGCCGCCGGCGGAGAAAAGTGGCGGTACTTCCTGAACCAGAATATGATCCGGACTTTGATCCCGAGCTCGAGCCATACTGTCCTGAGTACCTTGGCTACTGCTCTCCTGGACCGATAAAGTTCCCACCTTTTTCTCCTGCCAGCGTCCCCCCCGAGACGGTCCCGAACACCTCCTCCAGCGTCACCTCTGAGAGGGTCCCCGACACCGCCTCCTTCTGTACCATGTCCGAGGGAGTCCCGGACGCCTCTCACCCCTGTGCCTCCTCTGAGAGGTCCCAGCGCTGCCTGCGTCCTGACGAGGCGGGACGTTTCCACCTCCGTCTCTGCGCCAGCGAGGCTAGACGCATCAACGACCTCTCACCCTCAGGAGAGGGTTGACGCAGCCACAAACACCTGCGCTCCAGGGAGGCTGAATGCATCCACATTCATCTCTGCTCCAGCTGGACTAGAAGCTTCTACATCCACCTTTGCCCCCCAGATGATCGACGCCTCTACAACCCCCAGTGTTCTTCAGAGGGTCGACGCGTTTACCTCCTGTGAGGAGGTGGTGGTGGCTGCCACCCTGGCTGCGGTGACGGTGTTTGTCAACGCTATTCTGGTGGAGGTGTTGTCCATGCCTTCCGCAGCACCTGAGTCCTTGGAGCTGGAGCCAACATCTGAATCCTCAGAACCAGAGTCCTCTGAGCCAGAGCCAGTGACAGAGTCTACTAAGCTCCCGGGTCTGASTGTGAAGTCCTCGGGTCAGCYKGAGCCTACAGAATCCCCGGGTCAGATTGTTGCATCCCCGGGTCTGCCTGAGGCTCTAAAGATCTTCAAGCTGGTCTCTGTTCCTGAATTCACTCTGGTCCTTAATGCAGCTGAGGACTCCTCGCCGTCTGCAGTGTCTCCTGAGCCGGCCCCTGCAGAGTCCCCTGCAGAGTCTCCTCCAGAGCCGGCCCCTGCAGAGTCTCCTCCAGAGCCGGCCCCTGCAGAGTCTCCTCCAGAGCCGGCCCCTCCTGAGAC